CTTTAGAATTTATTTATAAGGTCCATATCAAAATAATAAATCGTCTTGTGTGTTAACTCTGTTAACGCACAGATTATAAGWTCTTTTTTTTATCATAACTTAGAGAACATGTAATAAATTAGAAATCTAACTTTTTCTATTTAAAGCCAGATTTTGATTCCTTTGAACATTTTTTTTTTTTTTAATGCTGTTCTGGCTCTTTGAATTCTGTATTATATTTCTAAAGAATAATTCTATTTTTAAGTTGTTATTTTATCTACGGTGCACAAATTATTGCAACACTCAACATTCTGATACTGTAGGTAGTGAATCTAGATAAGAATATCAAGAAAAACTTATATACAGTAGCCAGTAGRTAATAATATCATAAGATAAATATATTTGGTAGTAAAAATATAGATAGTAAAATTGTTCATATAATGTATCCAGTAATTAAAACAAAAATAAGTGGGATAATAAAGTTTTATCTTTATATTTTTAAACAGATTGTGAAAGAACAACACAAGTAAGCAAATATAAGTACTTGTGTTTATGACCAATACACATAACATTGAAATTTATTATTATGCAATGGGCTATGATTAGGTACTGTTTTGTATATTTATTATTATTATTAATACATACTATATGACCAGTATATGTAACTATTTTCTTGTATCTTATGCATTTATTCTMAAAAAGTTAAAATGATAACTATGGGCGATATTTGAATAGATGTTTTTTATTCAGATATATTAAGCTTAACATATTTTTCTCCCAAAGATGTATTTTACCAGTGGATATTTTTCCAATTGAAACATAACTTTTAACCTTATTAAAGATAAAACACTATTCTATTAAACAATTTATTGAGCCATATAAATTCTTTGAAAATTATATCAGGAATATGTAGAAAATGATAATACAACAACTTGGTGAAAATTTCAAGTGGGTATCTCCAGTTATTTGTTTTTGGGATATGAAAATATAGTAAAATTTTTTGAAGAAGAAACAACGGTTTAATATTTAATTTAATCAAAATTTAAACTTTAGATAGTCATATAAAACTATTGTTGATTTATAAACAATTTTTATTTTTTAATTGCAATATAAAATACCTAGAACTTGTATTCAATTTTTAAATTCTTAATTAAAACATAATTTTAATCATAAGCGATTACGACAGAATTTCAAGAAAATTATATCATGTGTAGAAACTTTTAATAAAGGTAAACATTTCAATTATTTATGGTTATTTTTTATTTTTTWATTTTTTTTTTATCCCAGTTATTAAGAAAAATACTAAATATACATTTATTTTATATTAAGTGTTTTAAAAATAAAAATGATAATAATAAATAAATCAATTACTGTAAAATAAATACATTCATTGCTCTACTCAGAATCTAATATGGTCTAAATGTTAATCTGTAACAGATTTTGAGTCTGGTTAAGTGTGTTTATCTATCAATGTTATAACCAGTACTAGATGAAAATATTAAATAATTTTAACTAAACAATTAATCAGAAAATTAAAATATCGAACTTAAATTATTATTGGCGTGTGTGGATTAGGTATGTAATTATTTGATTTCAATCCAGTAATAAAACATGGCACTACTGGTCCACGATAAACAATATGTATAATTATAACTATGTGTACTCTTCCTTACTTAACCCACATCAAGAAGCCTTTTTCTTTTTAATTTAATCTTAACAATGATARAGTATTATAGATATTACCTGTTGTGTAACTGCTTTCAGGGCGAGGCTTTTTTTTTACTTTTTGATTATTGCATAAATTTATTCTTGTCTCAAGTTCAATAATTCTATTTTGACTTTGTTGATACATCATTCTATGTTTACGTCGCACCGATTTATTGGCAGTCTCATCATTAGCAAGTCCTAAAGCAGCTTCGGCAATTCCTTTTTGGATTTTATACTCTAGTTCTAGAGAAGCCAAAGTTTCATCCTAAGARGTAAAAAACTTATATAAAACCTGTACACCACAATAAAAAAGCAATAATTACTTACGTCTTTAAATTTAAGCTTATTTATTAAATTTTCAGGATAAGTAAATGAAGTTCCAATACGTCGACGKAATGTAGGTGGTGTTTCACCAGGGTCCAATGGGATCTCCGGTGGTAAGCTTCCCGTCAATTCTGCTTCTTGTATGCATAATCGTTTTAATTCACGATTTTTTTCTGTGATTTTAGATTCTAATGCTTTACGTCTGGACTGTAAACTCGCAACCATCGTGTCAACTTTATTAAAGGAGCATTCTGAGAAGATAAAAGTTATGAATTACTCAATTAGCAAAGACAACCAAACATGTTAAATTTAATTGCATATAAGTTGTTTATTAACAAATGACAGAACGGTACTAGTTACCCATAGTTTTTTAAATTCATCGCGAAACTATCACATTCATGAACCAGAATTCTGTACGCTAAAACGGCGTGTGAATCCAAATATTTCAGCGATGTAAATTCTCAAATCTGAGTAATAAAATGACTCGCCTTGACGTGATGACTAATGACAATAACAAAGGTTAATGATACAGTGAAACACAGAAAACTCTTCCAAAGTAAACACTAAACAATAAACTGAGCTACATYATTAAAATACTTTACGGCTTATCTAATGCGTAATTGCTTGGTAAAAAGTAAAAACCACGGACTATGATGAAAATGATAACAGTAACTACTGCGGCGACGAATGAACGACAACATACGAAAACGATAATGATTAAAACGTTTCTGACATCCATTCCATCAGCTGCCAGCCCATCATTTCGTTATCATTATTAAAGTATTATATTATGGAGGCGTAAACGCCGTAAACAGTTTTYAATTTTTAAATTTTTACTTATTTATAAAACAACAAATTATTAGAAATATTAAATTACCACGTATTGTTATCATATTATACTAATTATTTACTATTTAGTAAATCTTAATCTATTGACAATCATCAAACGTCTAATTGGAGGTGTGGACGTGTGGTACATAAGGCCAAATACCGAAGAGCCGAATCCATTTGGCCGAATTTCATCCAGCTGACATAACTGAGAGTCAAATTTCATACAGCCGGCATAKAGCTGAATTTATAATATTGAAAAATATATAAAACGATTGTTTATAAGTTGCTTATAATATGTATAATAATAATGTGTGTATAAAATAATATAAAATATTTTCAAATTTGAATTGTAGGTAATTCCTTTAAAAAATCATCGATAACATTTCTATTAAAAATTGATAATATTTCTATTATTTTATTCTTCAATAACATTTTGTATTTGAAGTTTCCGTTTTATATTTGTTACTTATGTCCAAAATGAAGAGTCTTGGCACAAGTGTTGAAAAATTTTGGTAGGCACTGACCACGTTGGAATTTATTGTTTAATGTTTAATCATTGGAACGTGTAAAAAACAACAAAATTCTTTAGATAAATATTTTACTAATTTTTATTCTTAAAAAATGTATTTCAAGTAAGGAATAATTCATATTTATAGGTCAAATTKAATTGATTGTATCTGGAAATCAAAGACCAAAACCTAAATTAGCAAATATAAAACGACAACTTCAAACACAAAATGTTATTGAAGAATAAAATAATAGAAATATTATCAATTTTTTTAAAGAATTTCTTACAATATAAATATTTAAATTTTTTATTTATCAACATTTATATTTATTATTTTATACACATACCTATTATTATATATATTTTAATACATTAATACTGTATATATTATACATAATTATAAAAAATGTATTTATTTATTTATTTATATTATAAATGCAGCCCTTTGGCAGCTAAAAGAAATTCTGGCTCTCAATTATTTCGGCTGGATGAAATTTGGCTGAATGGAGTCGRCTCTTTGGTATTCGGCTAATTTGATTTGGCCCATTGTCCGTCTCCCCTAACTGGATAGATATCAAGGGTTTGACTTATTTTTTCGTACGATCGATATTATTATAGTGATAATGATAAATAAATTTAGTATGCTTGGTCACATTTCAAATTGCAATACGTAGAAGTACAGAACACATTCATACATATATCACTAATAAACATTGTTATTAATTTATTTCGCTTCATGCCACAGCATTAAATTAGTAAGAAATTACTTTGATTAATTAAAAAGCATTTATATTTCTTAGGTGAAAATTATAATTTGATTGGTGGAGACATATAAAACTTGTTTAAATCCAAAATATTAAACAATATTCTATTTAAATTAATTAAGAAACCGAGTTTTCCACATACTTGTTKGAGGAACAATAGTATAAAGGTAAAATAGCTAAAAAACTCTCAGTTGCTCAGTCGCAGATGCTTTTACATTTTACAAAACATTTCATTAAACTTAAAAAAATGTGAAACTACTATTTTATATTCATACTAATATTTGATGAGATACTTGATTTTTTTAATTCAATAAATACATTTTTAAAAAGATAAAAAAATCCAATATATTCATCAAATTTAATAGGTAACTAGAGATTTGAACGAGCAATGGTGCAAAAAAAAAATGTTGGCTAGCTAACCATTCTTAAAATGCTTATATATTTTTTTTTTCAAATTTTTTTATAAATATACATTTTTTTCTTTATAATCTATTTATTTTTTTAAATATATATATTTAAGATATTAAATTAAAATAAAATAATATTTTTTTTTTAAAACACTATTATAAAATGTGGGAAGCCCGATGCCGCATACTATACTTTAATTTATACTATACGGTTGGCCATATTAAATTCTTTAAGACATAGCCGTATTAACAGTTAATCGTTTAACTTACATTCTATTATTATTTATTTATTAAATATAACATAACTGTTTTATTGTCCAATTCAAAACTCAATGWTCAAAAATTAATATTAATATAATGTAATATGTAATATAGGTAGGTGTCTTGTAATGATATAGGTTATGATAAATTAAAATTTTAGGTGCAAGGAATGACTGTTAACTTTATATTTATAAAAATTATATTTTATATTTTAGTTTAAAATCTGRGCCTAAAAAACAGAGATTCAATACATAAATAAAAATAAAAACATATAACAACTGCTATTTTAGCATGAATATTGAACTATAACCAGTCATAAACTCAGTGTGTCTAAAGCATATAATGTTTAAACTAGTAAGTGTTGATATTATAATAATTAATAGTGTATTAATTGTATTTGTCATTATCAATTATTCAACTTATATTTTATTTTTATGACCTAAGTACTTGTGTTTTGAATTTCTAAACAATCAAGGAAGGGCTAAGTAATACTTATGAGAAAAAATTTACTTTTATAATTTCATTTTCATCTTGATATGCAATATGTAGTGTATTTAATTTAATTAGAATCCCACTCAATTACATAACTGATTACTTCATTATGGAGTAGGTAACCAATAACTTATAACTGTGTGAGAAACAACTTTATCTATGAAATGCATATCTTTTTAATACTGATTTGGATTATCTATGTAACAAATTTCCAAATATTATCATTCTAGTCACATTTTAATTTCAAAAATTTAACTTGATCAACATTTTGTTTTAGAGAGGTCAACAACCATGAAGACCATATTGATTGTACCTTTTATATTGGACTGATTGCTATTGAAACGTCTAGTGAGTATATTCTTAAACATTAAATACAAATAAATCAAAACACTAAATGCCGTCCCACTTTTAAATATCAGACTGCGGACTGTCAGTTATGCATGAATTAAAATAWAAGCATAACTGGTGTGGTTACAAATAGTGTTTTTAAATGTCTGGTATTTTACAATCCTATGTAAATGTGTGTTTGGATTAACTAATTTTACACGTTACTGTAACAAGACTAGCTTGAATCAGCTAATGAAATTAATTAAATCCTGTACCGTTTAATGAAAAGTAATTTAAATATTGTTAAAGTTATTTTTTTGTGGTTATTACTTAACATACTCTGTAYCTATGTATTTTTTCACCCACTATTAAAAACAATCTTTTATAGCATTTTGACAAAACAGAGCTATTTTTTTCTAACAGGTACCTCGTGTTGTGTAAAATATTTTCTTAGCGTCCAATTAATAATTTATAAAGTTATCTAAAATCTGTGATGTTATTATTATTAGATAGGTAGATTATTGTTTCAAATAACATATTTTTATAGTGACTGATTGAATAATTCATAAGTTCTCAGGTATTTTTATTTTACATTCATACATACCAGACATTATCAATTATTTATCTAGTATGACTTTAGTAAGGKTTTAAACTGGTTTAAAACCAAAAAGTTATTTTCCAAACATAGCTGCTATTGCTGTTAAAATAAATCAATCATAATAGAACAATAAACTTATTCACCTACCTAAACTGTATAGTTAATGTTTGTATATATTGTTTTAGTTTCGTCACTTCTGACACAATAAACAGAAGAAATCGTTGATTTCATAATTAACAAATCTGTCTTTTTTAGGAATGCAATTTATCGCTATCCAGCGGCAACACACTGAACACGATACCCATTCAATACAGTCATCTTCGGGGAGACTACGGTACTTATCTGAGTGCCGGCTACAGTAACAGTATAGGCATATGTTTGTCATGTCGTCAGAATTTTCTAAGASATAATTTTTTAAATATTCTCGGTAATTTTTAGGATTAAACTCTAAACTGAACTCAGAACCGTCCATAATGTTAAATGCGTAGTGTATTAAATAAACACCACAATTATATCCATAATTTTGTTGTGAAACGTTTTTATAGGGGCATTCAATACGTAGTGATAACGTTGGACATTTTTTTCCGTCGTTTTCGTAAATTACTTTTGRTTTCAGCATTTCGGATACATTGATTTAAAATTTTGATAATCTAATATCATTGTTATATGGTTCAAAAAGATCCATGATRTAATACTTTTCGGTTTTGAAATTTAAAACAACCACTATCCAATGACTATGCACTAACCATGGTAGAATAACCGTACTATCCTGAGTAAAAGTAGTTTTGTYAATATGCTGTTTAACAATTTCTCTTTTTTCAAACAGTTGTCTTGCATGGTTGAATGATAAAACCTGTATGTTTTTTAAGCCCAGCTTAAAAGCATATGACATCAAACAAAGATCTATGACGAAGTTACTCAACCAATTTTTTGCAGACAATGAATCAAAATCTTGGAAGTACAGGTCGTCTAAGATGTCAATTTTTTGGTGACTAGGTAATATGTGCCCATAACTTCCAACTATATAATCAGTCGGTATATAGTATCTGCTGGCATTGGTTTGTAGTACGTCAAATCTTTAGGGAGCATATTTTTGTGTAAATCTATTGATTGCTGCACTGACCGTCGAAACARAGATTTATAACGGGGTTGGTAAATTGAGTCCCAAATGACACTAACTCGGTAAATTGAGTCCCAGGGAAAAATAAGTAGTAGGTAAGTTGAGTCACAGAAAAAATAAGGTAGTAGCTAGGTAAGTTGAGTCCCAGAAAAAATAAGGTAGTAGCTAGGTAATTTGAGTCCCAGGGAAAAACGATTTATATGTATTTAAAATTTAAAAATTAAAAATATGCACTATAAAATTATTATTTGTGATTTGTGGACATTCGTTGACTGCATGTATATGATTTTGAAAATAGCAACATGCATTTTGATTAATTATATAATTATTTTTTATGCAATAAAAATGCATGTTGCTATTTTCAAAATCATATACATGCAGTCAATGAATTGTTCACAAATCATAATTAAAAATTTTACAGTGCACATTTTTAAATTTTAAATGCATATAAATCGTTTTTTCTTGGGACTCAAATTACCTACTGCCTTATTTTTTCCGAGACTCAACTTACCTACTACCTATTTTTCCCCGGGACTCAATTTACCGCTTTCAAAATGTACCAAACTTATCTCGAACTCAATTTGCCTAGCCCCATTTGTCCCATATTAAGCCAGGTGTCGAAACTGATTTCATTAAACAATTATTGTCTAATGACTTTGTCAAATCATATACATACACGTTGTTGTTAATAGGCTTGTCAACAGTGAATTTAGCCTCATTATCACATTCTGTAACCAGAACAATTTTAATACCATCGACCACTTTGGGTGAAATTTTATATTCATCTGCTGTAGTGGTCAAAGACTTTGGGATTTTTAACGACAGGGCTTTGAAAGGACGGTACATGGTGGGTTGGAGATGTTTTGGTTGTTTCTCTTTTTTCCCCCAACTTTCTTTTGYCTCTAAATGGCTATGGCTAGTAATTTCTGAAATTTTTCTTTTCCCATTTCCTTTGGTAGTTCTTTGCGTAGACTTATTGTCAAAATCAAGTGCATACCTGTTTCTTTGTTTCCGTAAAATGTGATATTTTAAATACTTCAACTCAAATGACATCTTTAAACTCTTATTAATTATTAGCTAATGTAAATTGTAAACTGAAAACTTAACAACGTATATTAGATTTTGAATTTATAAACTATAACTTTTCGTTATTATTTATTTGTCATTATAATATAATAGGATAAAAAGTAAATAATAATAATAATAAAAAGTAATAATATTATTATTATGATGACAATGTATTATAGTGGACCGTGGTATTTTTGAATTTATAACCTAACTTTCCATTATTATTTGACGTCAACAGAATTTATTTATATACTTTTGAATCAATTTTGAAAAATTATTTTGTGGCATAGGGCGACATCTAATTTACGGTTTCGATGCAATAGTACGTCACCCCTGAAATTAAATGAAATGCAACACAACGCACAAGGTTTCTTATCACTAGAAATAGTCTCCTGGCTTTGTTACCCCAACTTCACACGGGTGATATACGATTGCGAACGGACTTTTTTCCGTATCACGATTGCGAACGTTTTTACCTGCCTTTTTCCGTACAGCGTTGCCAGATTCATTGTTAGTAAATTATATTTATGTTATAAAATAGATTTTATATTATATATTATTTTAAGTGAGTTTTATAACTCCCAACATTCAACACACGCAATGTTTTCAGTTTTAAAACAAACGCAGGCACACACTTTGACAATAATAAATTCTATTTAAAATAAAGTACATAATCCTATGGCCAAAAAAGATAAATCTAGAATTGAATTAACATTAAAAAATTTAAATATAAAAAAAAAAATACAGAACAACTATTTTAGTTTTTTAAAATTTATTTGTGTATTTATTTGCTTGTAACTTATTAAACATTATTGAACAGTATTACTAGCATTAATATCGAATTTTTTTATTCAATCGCTGTTTTTAACATGACCTATTATTTTGTATAATTGTATTTTTGTTTTGTTTTTTTTTTGTTTTTACAACCCAGCTTCATAGGCCATTATAGTTACAGTTTTTTTTGTAGATACGTTTGTTACATAATTATAATTATATTTACATTATATTAACATTATATTTGGTCTATTAGATTTATTGATTTAAAAAAATTAAGTATTTTAGTTTGTAACGTAGTTATAACGTCACATTGTATTATTTATATATAATATATAAATTTTGAAATATAAACTTGGCAACGTAGCCTAAAAAAACGTTCGCAATCGTTYGGTTTTCGGCTAAAAAAACAAATTCATCCGATAAGTGACATTCGTTCGCAATCGTGTTATAAAAAAGGTAAAACGTTCGCAWTCGGGTTATACCCACTTCACACACATAATGTATTGTTTATTTTACAAACAAGGTAGTAAAATATTGTGCACAAACATGCTTTCAAATTTTGGCACTATTTTAAAGTAATTTTATTCAGCCCGTAAAAATACCCTTCAAAATATGCACTTTTTTTTATTTTACAATTTGAAATACAATCTGTACAACATAGCACACTAATAAGTATATACGAGTATGATATTATAATAGTAGCATGAATATTTTGAATTTAGAAATTACCCATTGGTGACATTTGGCTGGGAAAATATGCACTTAAAACTTAAAATATACTCTGATTATCAATAATATGTAGAAATACCTACATACTTGTATAAATAGGTACTATATTATAATTAATTCTAATCAAAGATCAGCTTGAGGTCGATTTTAACATGTGTCATCTGAAAGTACTAAATAAAGTGACTGAACAAATATTTTAGTTCGATCATTATAAACAAACGAACATTATTATTAAAAATATTGATCAGTAGATAGTATCCAAGGTTTAGACTTTAGACTTGGATTCATAAATATGACTTAAATAGTTAAATGCACAAATGAATTGAGGTCATAGATTTATATTCCACTGTGTACCTTAGGGTGGCCCTTCGTCAAATAGGTGATTTTTTTT